TGCTGGTCGCTGAGGAAATACATCAACCTAGTGCTGTGGATCGCCGGATCGGCTTTCACCGTGGACGAAGCGGAGTCCAGCCCGGGGTCGTCACATGTGGTTGCCGCAAGCCCGCCGGCCACACCTTCGTCGAATCCGCCGGCCGCACCGTTCTCAAGCCCGCCCACCACCACTCACTCTAGCCGGCCTCCGCTCACTCTAGCCCGCACATTTTATGGAGGACTGTTTCCTGATCCTGGTAGAGTAGACCCTAGTGCCGGCTGTTCTGACTCACAGACTGTAAGTACGTTTATAATATTTAAAGAATTTGCCACTGACGATTCAAACGCGAGTTTTGGGAAGTGTAGAGTAGTACTTGTTGTTTGTCATTTCTCCGATCACAAATGCAGACATGGTTTTATGTTTACGCGGCGCGATGCAACGCAACGCGTAAAAAGACAGTATAAGTCATTATAATCAGTAATTATGTCCCCACTGGATGCAACAAATGCCTCGTTTGTAATGGGTTTTATTGGTTTTGTCTCGTCGCTGCTGCCGGACAAGGCAGCACATTATGGTAAGGGGCGTAACATTTCCGTCACACGCTTGAGGTATTCGGCCAATCACAATGCACTGGATAGCTGGCCAATCACAGCACACCTCGCTTTTTCAGACCGATGAGCTTTGTAAAAATCGACGTGTTTCAGAAAGGCGGGTCATAGAGGAGAAACAAAAATGTACAGTATGTGGAAAATAATGTGTTTTTTGAACCGCATAAACATATTTCATTACACCAAATACACACAAAAAAATTTATTTTAGCTACATCATGTGGCCCCTTTAAACATTTAGAAAAGTAATCAAAAAGTAATCGAATGTAATCAGTTACATTACTTTAATAAAGTAATTGAAATAGTTACCCTACTATTACATTTTAAATAGGGTAACTTGTAATCTGTAATCTATTACATTTCCAAAGTAACCTTCCCAACACTGTTTGTCAGTACAACATAGTATTCCTATTTCAATTTACTTCGTTTTTTAAGGCAATCGGTTTGCATGCTTTTTTAAGTAAGCCCAACTAATTAGATTTTACAGTAAGTTAACAAAAATGTCAATAATCTATCTATCTATCTATCTAAACCATCTTCCAATATTCTGACATTGTACATAATCGCCCTCCATTATGTGCCGTAACTAAATTAAGTGGCTTCTGTCAAAGGGTATTTATACAGTTCTCTAGATTCTGGCTTAAAATCTCCCACAAGAGCAATGTGAGTCCTCCAGAGTTTACAAAGTGTCTACAGAGTCTATTAGGGGGAGATTACGTGATGACAAATGGATGTGGTCTGTTGTGTTGAGATGTGCAGTAGATGTGGTTATCTAGCCTGAAACTCAACTCTACTGCGAAAGAAAGGAGGATGAACAGATTACCAAGTAGAATATTTAGATAGACTAATATATACTGGTAAAATGATATTTGGTGAGTAGCTGTGTAAGTAAATTTCTCCATGTCCTGCTAGCTGTCACACACCCATCATCTCAGTGTATGGCAGGCAATTAAAACAGTTCTTCATTTGTATTACTCAAGCTGAATTTTTAGGTATGTTTATTGAGTTTATGTTGAAATGCTCTGTAGTGATTTGTGACTCTCTGTCTGTTTGCAAATACATGTCTTTCAAAAACCCTGTTAGGAAGGCCATTATGAATTTGCATGCATATGGCTCATGCTATTTTAATGTGCAGGATATAATTATAAAGATATTTGTTTTACAGTTTATCATTACAAAGGGTCCCATGTCACACCCTGCTCTTTCTGTTTGTTGCGCCTCTTTGAAACCGTCCAGCTTTCTCATGATTTTATTACAGAGTGTGTGTAGAGCAAATACAGCCGTCTCTGCAAAAATAGGCACATGCAATTTGTCTCTCTTACTTGCTCTCTATCAGACATAAAATGCATAACGGTTATGGATAAACTGAGTTTCCGGATCATTATGTCATCTCTGTCAGACAGAGAAAGACAACAGGCTACACCCATTGATGCATTAGACAGACAGACTGCATTAGACCAAGTGCATTAAGCCTAAATTTCGGCTGCCGTATGTGAGTGTGTGTGAGTGCTAATCATATGCAGGCTTTTAACACACTCCTCCAGTTAATTCCGGTTCACTTTTAGTCTTCACCACCACAGAGAAGCTCAATACCAACTGCATTACTGTAAGACATTACAGTAAGAGCTGCACTATCATGACAGAGCCTAGATAAGACTCCAGAGCCAGTGTGCTGCAAGATATTTTTACACACTAATGTTTTGTTAAGTTGATTATGGCTGTCTTTAAAGTGACAGCTCAGCCAAAAATGAACATTCTGTCATCATTTACTCACAAACCTGGATTACTTTCCCTCCTCTGTGGAACACAACATTTTGATGGATAGTGCATGGGGGGCCTTCGAGTCAAAAAAGTTGAGAACTTTTTTTCTTCTTATTTCATTATATAACCAAACAAGTTCTGTGATTAATTGT